GAGACACAGGGCAGGGAAGACAGCTAGGAATTGACTAAGGGGAAGTGTGTGTGTGTGTGTGTGTGTGTGTGTGTGTGTGTGTGTGTGTGTGTGTTGTGACAGAGTAGTCCAGGCTGGCCTTGAACTTGCGGGCATCCTCCTGTCTCTGACTGATGAGATTATAGGCATGGGCCACCACACCAGACTGGCTAGGGGAATTTAATCTTAGGTGTGGCTTCAGCGCCTCTGTTAACCACCCACCTTACTAGTGAGGAACATGTGATTTGGTTCAGCCAATGGAACATTCCTACCCCCCCCACCAGCCCTGGCCATAAATGATTGGGTCTAGCATGGGCATGTGATCTCAGCTGGTCCAATCAGTGAGCCTCATTACTTTAGCGGGAAGTCTGAGCCAAAGGAGTCCTCCTTTGCCTGTGGGATGAAGGAGGCTCCCTGTGGCTGGAGGCTGGTGGCGGCCATTTTGGGAGCTCCTACTGGGAAAGATGAAGCTGAGTGATGAAAACAAATGGGGTTTGGGGGTGACATTACTGAGTTACTATGTCATTGTTGGTTGAAGCCAGCCCAAGAGTGGATTTTCCAGTTACAAACTCCCTGTCAGTTTGAGCCATTTATTTGAGTCAGCTTTTCTGTTATTAGACAAATCATCAAAATATTTAACAACCAGTACTTTGGCCACTAAGCTATCAGAATGGTTCAACACTACACCCAACATTTATTTATCCTTTACTTTCTGCATTATGGGTAGGTTTGAGAAGTCCTGGAATGGGACAGCTGGAATGGTTGTGATGAGGGACATTTGGAGGACTTCAGGCAATGGGATTTACCAGTTGATACAGAAGTAATTTAGTATTTTGACAGATTTCAGCATAGCCAAGAGAGCTTGTAAAGCTGAAACAGGGTCCCCCCTCTTCACATTCCTTGGTTTCAATTACCTGTGGTTAGCCATAGTTTAAAAAGTATTAAATAAAAAATTATAAACTGGACATGGTAACACACACCTATAATCTCAGCTGAGAGGCTGAGAGTTGGATGGAAAGTTCAAACCCAGCCTGGACACCTTAATAATGTAGCAAGACCCTGTCTCAGAATAAAACATGAAAAGGGCTGGAGATATAGCTCAGTGCAAAGGCCCCAGCACTTTCCCAAAAATTACATTAGAAGATAGTTCATAAGTTTTAAATTACATGGCATTCTGAGTAGCATGATGGAATCTCACATAATCTTCACAGTCTGGGCTGGGGATTAGCTCAGTGGTTCCGCCACCTGCTTCGAAAGCACAAGGTCCCGAGTTCAACCCCCAGTACCAAAAAAAAAAAAAAAAGCTCCATAATCTCCAGGGTCCATCAAAACTGGTTGTGAATTATCCCTGTAACCAGAGTATCCATGTAGTATATACTGCCTGCCCATCGGTCACTTAGTAACCATCCCAGCTCTCAGAGCAGCTGTCTTGGTATATAGGGCTCATCACAATGCAGTTGCAGGCATCTGAGGGAGGGTGTGTTAAAACTTGTCTCCATCAAATGAGGAGGAATTACCGTATCAGCTGTACTTGCTGACAGATACAGTCCCTTGGGGCGTGAGCTAGTGTGAATGGTTTTCTGTTTCATGCAACTGAGAACATCCAAAAGGAAAAAAAAAAAAGACATCCTCTTTCAAACCTGAGTCATGAATTAAACATAGAAATAACAAATAGCAGTGTAATCTCACTTTAACCATATGAGGTCACTTTAGCTACGGGTCAGGCAGCAACTCTGCGGAGATTTTGATCAAGAGCTGCCAAAGCGTCCGCACCCTTTGGCCCAGGGATCCCACCTCTGGGACACACAAGGATGTGCATAGGCGCATTATTTATAATGAGGGGAAATTGGGAACAGCTTCAATGTCTGGCAACGCTGCCCTGTTGAGTAAACAGAGCACAAACATGAGAGATTGTGTTTACACAGAGACGTTTTAACAGGGGAGCAGCTTACATTTTAAGAAGGGGGAAAATGGGAGTGCATAAACAATTCACTCACAGTTATGTAAAACCACACACACACACACACACACACACACACACAGGCACATGTAAAAAGCCCACATGGAATAGGAAAGGCATGGAAATACACCAGGATGTTAACAGCATTAGTGGTTAACATGGTGGGAAACAGCCTTTATCGTTTTTGAATGTTTTTTCCAGCTTCCAAGCTGTGCTTAATGAACACCCAATTTTTGTCATGCCGGGGACTGAGCTCAGGTTCTCAGGTGTGCGGGGGAAGGGCTCCCTCCCTGAGTTCCAGCCTTGCAAGGCCAGCTACCTGGAAATTTTCAAAAGAACACAAAGAGAGGATAAACTTACACATGACCTTCACCCAACTCTAAGAGCTATTCGGTGTTTTGCCGTTTCATCTGTCTGTCCCTTCCCCAATCCTTGAATATTTTTTAAAAATTCAAAGTTGTGGATATCGGCACACACCTGTAACTCCAGCACTCTGGGAGGCTGAGGCAGGAGGATGGTTAGTTCCAGCCCAGCCTGGGCAACTTAGCTGCTTCACAGACCCTGTCTCTAAATAATTAAGAGCTAGTGATGTATCTTGGGCTTCCCATTCTTATTTAGCCACCCAGGAGCTTTCTAACCCTTCCCACATCCTCCTTATTCCAAAGGAGAGCCGGGTGTGGTGCGCACACCTGTAATCCCAACACTCGGGAGGCTGAGGCAGGAGGATCACTGTGAGTTCGAGACCAGCCTGGGCTACATAGTGAGTTCCAGGTCAGTCTCAACTACATAGTGAGACCCTGTCTCAAAAAAACAAGCAAACCAAAGGAGAACCTGGAGACTGCCAAGTCCCTCCTCTCTTTAGATGTAAAGTAAACTGGTGTGCTGGCCCAGGCCTGGAATCTCAGCACTCCAGGAAGCTGAGGAGGGAGAGTTATGGGGTTCTAGCTCAGCCTAGGCCACTTAGCGCAACCCTGTCTCAAAATAAAAATTAAAGATTAAAAAAGAGATGGGAATGTAGCTCAGTGAGAAGACTCTAGACTCAGTCCTCAGTACTGGAAGAATAATTATTCACAGAATCTTGGCACAGTGGCTGAAGCCTGTAGTCCCCGCACTGTGGAGGCTGAGGCAGGAGCATCACCTGGAGTTTGAGGCCAGCCTGGGCTACATAGCGAGTTCAAGGCCAGCTTGAAACATACAGTGAGACCCTGTCTCAAAAAAAACAAAATTTTTTTTTCTATAGTGATTATTGGAAAACGAAATGAAGAATATTAATAGCCAGAAGAGAAGTGCAGGGCCAGGGGTTTTTAGCTCAGTGATGCTGCTGCCTGCCTCAAAAGCATAAGGACCCAAGTTCAATGCCCAGTACCCCACCCCCAAAAAAAGAAAAAAATGCAAAATTGTGTTTTCTTTTTTCGTACCTCATCTGTATAAATTCATGCCAGTAGAAAAGAATTTTAAAATTAGCAATTTAGTACCCCCCAAAGGCATCAGTATTTGTTCAACTAACTTTTTGTTGAAAAAGTCAAACTTGGATCCTTTGGTTACAGTCTGATAAAACAAAACTTTACATAAATAATTGTGAGGATTCTTTTCTTCTTGAGAAAGCAATCAGGAGGGAGCTGAGGGGACAGAGACAGAGGAGGGAGGTGAGGAGGGAGAGGAAAGCGCCCCTCAGGAAGGGCCCTGAGCTGGGGCCAGCAAAATCCCTCTTCCCTGAGAAGAAGGCAGTGTGGGACGGGAGTCTCGGGGGTGCTACCTTCCCTGCCCTGCCCGGCTCACTTGGGGAAGCAGGTCCCCTACCCTGTCCCACCGGGTCCATCTGGGCCTCCAGGCCTCTGCTGAGCCTCTGAGCTGTAGGGTTTATAGCAAGGCCAGTTGTTGTGACGGTAAGGAGGAGCCCGGGGCTGAGAGGCCCTATTTATTCCTCAAGCTGGTGGGAACACGGAGGGGCTGCTCCTTGCTTTTGCAACTGTTTATTGCTTGTTTGGTTGGTTTTGAGACACGGTCTTGCTCTGTAGTTCAGGCTGGCCTTGAGCTCACTGTGTAGCTCAGGATAGCTTCAAATTCACAGCAATCCTCCTGCCTCAGCCTCCCAAGTGCTGGGATTGCAGTTGTGTACCATGGGGCCTTGGCTGAAACTGTGTACTGACCTAGGTGTTCACGTGGAAAGGTATAAATGCACAGCCCCCTCTGGATGAAGTCTCACCAACCCCAAACACCTGTCCCCAGCCCCCAGCCGCCAGCTTGCCCTCCTGGCTCCTTTCACTCCTGTCCTCTTCCTTTCCGTCACAATCATTCTGACCTTCTGACAGAATAGATTGCTTGTGTCTGTTTTGAATTTTATAAACATGGAATCGGAAAATATGTCCTCTTTAGTGTCTGGCTTTTTTCACTCAACACTGAAAAGAAAAATCATCCTGCTTGAGGCAGTCATGGTTGTTCTTGAAGGCATGTGAACCCGACATGAGCTGTGCCCAGTTTATTTATCCAGCCAGTGGTGAAGGAGCCAGCAAACGAGAGTCCTCTCTGGCAAACAGGACAGCCAGTGCAAAGGTCCTGTGGCGGGGACTTGTGTGGCATTTCAGATTTTTGTGGCATGGTGGGGGCCATGTGTGTGGGAGATGAGGTCAGAGAGGGAACAAGAAGCAGATGGCGCAGAGGCTCATGGAGACTTTGGCTTTATCTCCCCTCGCGTTGGAGCCATGGGAAGGTTCCAACAGGGGAGGGCCCTGACCGGAGCTGGAGCTGGCTGTTCAATCTGGAGCCTCTTCTGGCTGTAGCAGATGAATTGGGGGCTGGGGTGGGAACAGGAGCTGGGGAGGAGGGGGCGAGGGTGGAGGCAGCAGAAGTGCTGAGAAGCGTTTGGACTCAGAACTGGTTTTCTGTGTGCGTGATCAGTGATGTATTTTATTTACTCCTGCCATTTTCCTTTGTCATTTGTCATCCCTGATTTTTTTCTCCGCTTGTTTCTTCTCATTTAAGCTTTGAATTGGCTGTGTTTCTCGTTTGCTTTTGTCATATGTTTTCCTAACCCTTCTTTTCCCTCTACTGCTTTGGAACCTATGCCCCATTTCCATTAGTTTAGTAACAGTCCCAGTTCTACCGTGCATACTTTGAAAATCCGGCCCAAAGTCAGATCAGTGGCTTCATCACCCCGTCAGCACCACCTGGACCGCAGAGGGTGACAGGGACTTCACCACCAGTTTCACTAAACCCACTGAGGCTTCTCTTGGGGCTGCAAGTGCCCACCGGGTAACTCAGCAGGATAAAAACTTGGCATCTGGGCCTCCATTTTGCATCCATCTTTTCTGCTCTGAGTCACTCTCTCCTGCAGTCACCTTGGAGTCCAGGAAAAACAGGTCTGATGAATAATAATCTGGTGCCAGGAGGCAACTGCCCCTCAGGCTCCAAGCTCCAGCAACCCCCCCCCACCATTCCTGGGGATTTAACACGGGCCCTTCACACTGAGCTGTGTACCCAGCCAGTTTGTATTTGGAGACAAGGTCTCATTAAGTTACTGAGCTGCCGGACCATTCTGATTGGGGCGGGTACCGGGGATCAAACTCGTGTCCTTATGCTTTCGAGGCAGGCAGCCCCCCTGACCATTCTGAGATAGTAACCATCAGGACTTCTGTTGACCAAGATTGAATCCGTGTGCCCTGTTTCTGGTCCCTCCCTATTCAAATAAGACTCCAGACACCATTCCTGGTGTCCCTGAAGACAGGGCTGGCTGAGGACACGGTCTGTTCTTTTCTTTTTTCTTTCTTTCTTTTTTCGTCTTCTTGGTATAGTTGTACCGATTAAAGTACCTTTCCTGATTTGCACCATTATTTTTCTGTCTGTCTGGTTTTAGGGGTGAGCGGCTGGGCCTAAAATATTGAGACCCCCAGAATCTCACCTTTGGCCTAGGATTCAGGTACCAAGAGAGCTTTCTCTTTGATCTCCCCGGTTCTCCTTGGCGTTGCTGCACAGGACGTGCAGAGGATGGCGTTTTGGAAGTTTGGTTCGCCTTCTCCCTCCCCGCAACGTGAGCGGTGCTGTGACTTGGGGCGGGGGTGGGGCCTAGAGGGAGGTGGCGTCACCCTTGGAAGAGATGGAGCGAGATCTCGCGGGACCCTTTTTAGTTCTCCCGAGAGGATTGTTAAAGAGAACGAGGTGGCCCCTCCCTGTTCTCTGGCTCTCTGCCTGCCCTCTCCGGCAAACCCCTTCTCTTGCTTCCCTCCCCTACCAAGCCGGTGTCTGTGCCATGCTCTGTGGCCTAAACAAACCTCTATTCTTTATACATTGTCCAGCTTCAGGGTGGTATCTTAATTTTTTTTTACATTTATTTTTGCAATACTTACTGGGGATTATTGAATCCTGTATCTTCACACTAAGCCACGTTCCCAGCCTCCCCGCTTTTTTGGCACCAGGGATTGAACTCAGGATCTTGCACTTTCGAAGCAGACGGTGGAACCACTGAGCTAAATCCCCAGTCCCTTTATTTTTTGTTTTGAGACGAGTCTCACTAAATTGCCCTTGCTGGACTTGAACTTGTAACCCTCCTGCCTCAGCCTCCCTGGGTGCTGGGATCACTGGCATGCACCACCACATTTTCAGGTATTTTTATTTTTGTTTTGTTTTGTTTTGGTGCTGGGGATGAAACCCAGGGCCTGACCCAGGCTCGGCCAGTGCTCTACCACTGAGCTGTACTCTGAGTTTCAGTTCTTGCTATGGCAATGGAAAATGGACTAATTATAGAAGAACTCTTTTGTTGTTGTTGTACTTGGGATTGAATTTAAGACCTTGCACTTTTGAGGTAGGAGGCCAGTGGTGGCATCACTGAGCTAAATCCCTGGTCCTAGAAGGGAGGGCTCTCTTAAAAATAAATAAATAAAATTTTTACACTGAGCTACATCCTTCATCCCTTTTCATTTTTTATTTTGAGACAAAGGCCCAGAAGCTGCAAAGTTGCCCATGCTGGGCTAGAACTTGCAATCCTCTTGTCTCAGGTTCTCAGAGTGCTGGGATTGTAGGTATGTGCTACCCACCACCCCTGGCTCAAGGCTTCTCATTTAAAAAATTTTTGTTTCCTTTAAAAAATAATGGGCATTGTGGTGCACCCTTGTATTCACAGATCTTGGGAAGCTGAGGCAGGAGGATCACTATGAGTTCAAGCCAGCCTGGGCTCCATAGTGAATTAAACACCATGGTCCTATAACTGTAAATGCTGTAGTGTGTAATTCCCAGTAATAAGGATTGAATCCTGGGCCTTCCCTGTACATGTTAGGCAAGTGCTCTACCACTGAGCTATACTCCCAGACCTTTCAAAGAAAAGTTTTTTTTTAACTTTTAATTTTGAGAAGGTCTCTTGGCTGGCTGTGGTGGTGGATGTCTGTAGACCCAGCACTTGTGAAGCTGAGGTAGGAAGATTGCCACGAGTTCGAGTCCAGCCTGGGCCACATACTGAGTTCAAGACCAGCCTGAGCTACACAGCAAGACCCTGTCTCAAAAGAACTAAAAAGAAAATAAAAGTGTTCCCTTCCTGAGAAGTCTGGGGTAGCTGGACCCTGAGGTACCTATGAGGAGTGTCAGGTCCTCTGATCTCTCCCAACCCTGCTTCCCTAAGCTGCTTTGTTTTCAGACAGCTCTTCTCTGGAGGAAGCCTGGGCTTTCCATCCTGGGCCCTTCCAACCTGCGAAGCCTGGCGCGGGTGGGGGTGGGGCGTCCCCCACGGCATAGCCCCGCCCCAGGCTGAGTCTCCGAGCCTGGCTTCCAGCTCCTGCCCTTCCCTAACCCAGCTGCACGGAGCAGGGCAGGGGATGCCAAGCCGGCCAGGCCTGGAGTCAGCCGGCAGGGTCTTCACATGGACGGAGAAAGTGGTTCTTGCACAGGGGAAGTGGAAACAAAGGCTGGGGGCTGGGAATAGAGGGGCTGCTCAGAGCTGGTCTGAGGGAGCTGAGGATGGCAGTTACCTAGCCTGCGAGGCCTGGGTTCTACCCTCAGTGCCACAGAACAAACCAACAGGGAAAAACCAAAAAGCCTGTCTGCCGTCCTCCGATCAGAGAAGCCCCAGAAACTTACTTCAAGTACAAATGCTAAGTCTCAGCCTGGCTACCCAAACCTTCTGGATGATTCCTGAGCTCTTGTTTAGTGTACGAGACTCAGAAAAGCCTGATTGCATAAAGCAGTTAATTTATCTCTCGCAGAATACTCCAGGGGTGAGTGAGCCAGGCTGGCGTCCAGAGACCCCGCGTCCTGCATCTTTGGCTCGGTTCTACAGGATTTGCATGTGTGTGTGCGTGGTATGTTACTAGGAACTGAACCCAGTGCCTTCATACTGAGCTCCATCCCGTCTTTAAAAGAAAAAAAAGTTCTTTAAATGACAGGGCCTTGCTAAGTCCAGGCTAGGCTCAAATTTGTGATCTCACAGTGCTGGGAGTATCACACCTGGCTTCTATTTTATTATTTTATTTACAAATGCAATCTCCCTGCGTTGGCCAGCCGGTTCTCACACCCTGGGGCGCAAGCATAGCTGTTTCAGCCTCCAGGGCAGCTGGCACTACAGGCACTCACGATTATTTCTGGATGGTTCAGAAAATGAGACCAGAGCGAGACTGTCTAAGGTTCAACTCAAGCTCTGCTTAGTATGCTTAGTAGAGTTGTGTGACTTTGGGTAAATTTATTTCTATGCTTTAAATGAGGAAAGCCGGGATGGTAATAGCACCATTATAGGGTAGTGAGGATTAAACGAAGTAATTTGTAGAAGGCAGTATAGATCCTGGCACATAGGAAGCGCTGTTTACGTATTAGCTGTTGAAGATGTTGATGACGGCGACCACGAAGATGACAAGGACCCCGGATCCTGTGACTGATGGCTGTTTGAGCGCTAGTCACTAGGGGAGGCTGCCGGCTTGGGCTGCGTCAGCACGTGGTGACCATCAGGGGGCGCTGTGGCCCTTGTCCTGCCAGCGCAGTGACCGGCTGGACTGGTTCCCTGTGGACATTCCAGAGGAGAAGGCGTGGATCCCACCCCGTGCCAAAATCCTCAGGGCCAGGGCTAGGGGTTAATATAGGGGACCAAGGCAGAAGAAAAATGAGGTCTTTGGCCTAATCTTGAGGGCTAGCGGGAGGTGAGAGGGAAGTGTATGGCTCCCACTGCCGTCCCCATCCCCAGGATTCTGAAATTCCACCTCAGAGTTTTCCAGCTCTGTCCTTCACACTACTGCGGACATTTATACAGCAAGGTGGTTGTTGGGGGGGTGAGATGGGGGAGGATATTGGGGACTGAACCCAGGTCCTTCTGCACATCTCCAACCACCCCCTGCCCCTCCCCCCAACACTTTTTTTTCTGGGATCTTGCTAAATTGCCCAGGCTGCTCTTCAACTTGTGATCTTCCTGCTTCAGCCTCCTAGAGTGCTGGAATTACAGGCATTCAACAGGCTCAGAATGAGAATATTTGGCAATGCATTTTGAGTTTCTTTTTCTTTTTTTTTTTTTTTTTTTTTTTTTTTTTTTTTTTTTTTTTTTTTTT